GTTTGTCCGGAGGTTGGGTGTGGAAAGGTTTTCAATTTTGCATCAAAGTTGCGAAAGCATGAGGATTCTCATGGTAAGTTACTTAATTACGAAGGTGTTTTGGTGAGCCAAATGATATCTACGAGGTGTTTAATGTGTTGTTCAATAGTAACGTCAGTTCAACTGCCGCAGTCAAACTGGAGACTCTGGAGGCTTTCTGTTGTGAGTGCATGAAATACTTCAGCATTGTTGATTATCTGAAGGAGCACATGCAGTCAGCTCACCAATTAGTCAATTGTGACATATGTGGGACTAAGCAGCTGAGGAAGAATATCCAACGCCATCTCCGCATGCATGAGAAGAAAATTTTTGCTGATTCAGAAACATTCAGATGTGATGTTGAGGGTTGTCTCCGTGTTTTTTCAACAGTAAGATGCAATCACCTATAAAGTAGATTCTGGCTGTGCATGGAACATAATTGTTGCTTGAGTTCTTTTATCGTGTGGCTGCTGAGTGTACATTAGCTGATGTTTTTTCCTTGTTGACAGAAATCAAATTTACGTCAGCATGTGAAGGCTGTTCATCTTGAGGTGAGGCCATTTGTTTGCGGCTATAAGGATTGTGGCAAGAAGTTTGCGTATAAGCACGTAAGAGACAAGCATGAGAAAACTGGTTGCCATGTTTACACTCCAGTGAGCCCTATTCTCTCATTCTCTCTATCGAAATTCAATTTTACTGCTGTTGAAATCCAGCTTTACTACACAAGAGATGGATGATCCTTACACCTGGAAATTTTGGCTCCTTGGGTTCAGGGTGATTTCGAGGAGTCAGATGAGCAATTTCGATCGAGGCCCAGAGGTGGGAGACAGAGGAAATGTCCGACGATCGAGTCCCTGCTGCGAAAAAGAGTTACTCTACCCAGCGAGCTGGATTTCCTCTCGGATTAGTGACTGCCAAGGATAATGTATGGGGGCTGTGGTTTTTTGCCTTGTAGGCCGAGCAAAGGTGACATTCAATCATCATCCTCCTGTGTCACTTGTTTTTAATAGTTGATAAGAGTTTTTTGCTATTGTTTTGTCTAAGCAAACAATTCTTGTTCTTGAGCTATTTGTCAGCTGTACATCATGCAATACAGTAAAATTCCACTTGTTTCATACTGATCTGTCATTGATCACCTGATCCATGTATATCGTTGATCAGTTGAAAAGTTAGTTCCGGTAGATGTTTTCCTTCCCGAGATTGTTGAAGGCTGGATAGTTGGATTTCTACTATCTCCCTTGGTAAGGTTGAAAAGAAAATTAATAATTGTCTATAATAATTTCTCTTAAGGTTCACAGAAAATGTACGATGTGGAACATATTTTTCTAACAATTTTTATTTATATTACTTGAAATAATTAGTCAATGAATAATGTTTTCATTATCAATTTTATTTATATCTAAATATTTTCGTGAATAATGAAATTTTTTTTCCATTTATAGAAGCGATTAATTTTTTTTGAAAAATGTTTTGTGAATCATTTATTTTTTCCCCAAACAAACACACAGCCCAAGTACATAAAATTTTGAAGGTCCTTTGTGACGCACGACTGATCAAGATTTGGTTTTTTGCGACCCGACGGGAAACCAATGTCTAATAATCGGATCCTCGGGAACTTGTGAAAATGCTAGCACATTTGCTTGCTCCATGAACATAATTACGTTCTTCTTTGAACTCCGATACCGATGAATTTGCTACACCACCCACTTTTTCTTAGTAGGTTGTTACTCGAGCGATATTTAGGAGAAAAAAATTCCTTTGGAGTCTGGGAGATCGAGGGTGCAGACTTGAATTTTTGAATTTCGAGGGATAGAATTTGTTTTTCGCCATCGAAAGCGAAAGAAGGGACGCCTGTCTAACCAAATATAGATGCGATTTCATGGCTCGAATTGACACTACAAGTCGTGTAAAGCCAGAGGACGACATCCGATCCGTCATCGCACTATTTCTTCATCATCAGATCAGTTCACAAAAAACAGCTGAATCGCAGTGTGCAGGACGTGTGATGGCCTGATCGGTCGCCTTCGGTCCCATCTTCCTTCCCACAACCACAGCTTCCTTCTCAAGAAAGCAATAAACACGAAGACTAAGACGAAGACGAAGAATTCGAACGACGACAGCATCAACCCCAGTCCAAATCGTGCGAGCATCGCACGTTTGTGAGGGCGGTGGTTAGGCGACAACATCCAAAGTTGCTGTCAAACTCTCTCTCGGGCACAAAATATGTGGATAAGGAAGTCCCCGACTTCTTTCGTTGGAGCGACCACCTCGCTCACGCTCCCGTCCCTTTCATGGGACGTACCGCAATTTATTTTGCTCCATCAATTTCGTCAAAAACCACCCTTCTCTTTTCGTGTGTTAAGATGTGGGTCACGATTTCTCAAGAGATGTAATTTGAACGCGAATTTACGGGATCCCAATCGAATACATAACGGTTATTATCGTAAAAAAATCTCAAATTGATATATCCGTGCAATATTGATTCCAAATTAATTTTCGTGTCATGAAAAATTCCAGAACCGGTATACCGTGCCACGTTATCCAAAAAAATCTTAAACTCGGTGCACACGCGACCAATGTACCAAATTCTTAGGCCAAAATTAGAGCAGATGTGGCACGTACATACCGGCTCGGGACTTTCTGTGGAACTAAAATTCGTTTGGGGTGAATGCAACATGAGTGTTTCGGTTTGTGATTTTTTATGGTATTGAACTGATAAATATCTACTTATTAATCGATTGATTTTGTTGGGGGCTTTTGTTTTTTTGTCTTTAGAAATTTTGTGGTAACCCTTTGTTGGGTTCCCACACAGCTTTCCTTTTCCATGTCGCTTGCTATCCATCGAAGCAAACACCTTCAACGACCACGCGGGAGGTTTGAGATTCGGATAGAATCAAGAAACCCCCAAGTAGCATATCTCGAGTGGGGTTCTGAGCTTTGCTATTCTCAGATCTTATTTTTATCTAAATCTCGATTGCATATCTTTGATTTGGAGAGAGTCCAAAGATTGATCGACTTAGAAAGCTAACAAAAGATTGAAGGGACAGATGTTACCCGTAGGGGTGTTATCATTCTCTTGGATAGATATCATGTGGGTCCATGCATCATTTTATATTATTGGGCCTAAATTTTATGTTCATGTTGAACAAAGATTGGTCGTGGGAGTTCTTGTTTTTGCTATCTCCAGGACTGGGGGAGAGAGGTTGTTGCATCTTAGAAGGGAGAGGGGCCCGATCTCTGAATTTTGTGGAGGAAACCATCATCAGTGAGGTGGGGGATGAAGATGGAGTGTGTGGTTTGCCTTTGCGAATTGCAATGACTTTGTCTTGAATGGACCTAGCCGTGGAATTGATTTGATTGAGTGAGATGGGACAGAATTATGATAGGAGAATGTTCATTTTGAATCGAAATGTCAAGGACATTAAATTTGACATGTCAAAGACAAGATTACTAAAATATGCGACTAATCAAAAGTAGATAGATAAGTAAGTGGGTCGTGTTCAAATTTAGAAACCCAACTAGTTCGAGGTATTATCTTGAACTGATTTTGAGAATACGAAATTTAGACTCGATAGCTTTGTATTTCTGAAGTACCTATAACATAATAAAAAAACCACTATTGAATACCAACCGAATGAAAGATAGGCGTTATGTTATGATATCTCGGGAAATGAGATATAATCATTCCAACATACAATATTCGCTCAATTTAGTATTGTGATTGAAACATTCGTCTTAAAAGAGAACGATATTGGCGCTTTGGACTATAGACCAAAGAGAAATTGATTTCCAGAAGCATTTTACATCGAGTCATTCAATTATGAAATCAATTACCTATCTTTGATGAAATCGAGAGCAGGAGAGATGAACCTCACTTAGCATGTGAAAATTGATCGGAACACCGCCCGATGCAAACGCACAAAAAAATGTCTCTAGGTAAATTCGATGCAAACCCAGTCATCATGTGAACGGGCTAATTTAAGCACTTGGCCCTTAGGTTCTTCCATAGTTGTCTAACAAGATTGGGCTTTCTCTGCTAAAGCAGCTGTTCAAGCCCATGTAGCATAGAATATGTCATGTTTCAAACATGGACTTTCGTTCAGGTTGTCCCCCCGCTACTGCTTCTTTCTATATAAGCAATAAAAGATCTCTATCATCCCCAAAGATAGAGGATAGAAAATGACTGTAATTATGTGGTTTTCACTTACTATGCTTCAATGTTCTCTGCTCATATATTTCAGTTTCTCATGGTGAGATACTTCGGATCGAATTTATGTAAAAGTTTGCTTTTCTTTCTTTTTTTTTTCTTTGGGTGAAATAATGAATTTACATAAGTCGATGACATAACATGAAGATGAGCAACGCCACATAAAACCGTCTCCGGCTTCTCCAAAAGCTTCGTGAGCGAGTGGAGAGGATCGAGGTGAGTGAAGAATGCAACTGTCTAATTATAGGCAAAACTAGAAGGAGACAAATGCATTTCCCATGAATTTCATGGATTCATTTTGTTTATCGCAGAATGAGTTCGTCTTCAGGCAAAACGAAAGCAACCCAGTTCAAAACTACTTTTAGATAGAGAAGCATGCATTTCTCCGAAATGAATTTCTGCTTGATGTTTTTTCTTTTTCAGATTTTTGTCCTTTTTTCTAGATTTTTACTTTTTGAAATTTTGACAACAATCTTTTATATTGTAATTGTTACATAAGATGCCACGTCAGCATCTATCAGCAATGGAAGGACCAACTTGAACATAACAAATAGTTTAGGGATTCGATTACATAGAAATGTCGACAGACCTAATTGAACATTTCGCAATCTTTTTTCTTTTTTGTGCGTATTAATAAGGCTCGTCAATCAACTCACACAAGGTCAATAGCCCGTGCATTGCACAGTATTATCAAGAACTATTTCAGGCATGATATTTTCTAAAGCTTTGAAGCTTTAATGACTACTTGTAAACACTAGTGATTGCTGTAGGGACGACACTTTGCATTTAAATGTTTTTACACACTGAAATGATTGAAAAAGCTGCCGATAACATCCTTATTAGTAACAGAGCCATTTCTGTACACATTCAGCTAACAAATTATGACAAGCAAATAAAAACGAATATCAACAAGAAACACGATTCGAACAAGTCCTTAAATTGCTCCTTTACAATCCTGAGTTAGAACAACTCCTGCTGATGTTTTCGTTCGTGATCTTCTAACCATGCCGCAACCTTAAATTTCTTGAAATGTGTTCCTGCCTTGCATCTGAAACAGATTTTACCCAAACATAGTTTCATATTCACATGTTGATTTTAGGCCTCCTAAAAGAAAGTTGGAAGAACCACCCGCCTGGGTGGCGCTGCTGGAGTGCGCACTCTTCCTCTCGCAAAATGTTGAATGTTCGAATCCCGGGTGCCGCAGGGTGACTTAACCGGTGCACGTGTGTGGTGGCTAGCACGTGTCGCCCCCAGGGTTTACCTCCCGGCTGTCGGCCGTGCGGGGGTTCCCTGGGTCATAAAAAAAAAAAAAAAAAGTTGGAAGAACATCGGAAGAAACTTGAACTTTACCTTGATTTAGTTCATCATGAACTCGATGTTTGAGGCTCAGTCTTGGCCGAGCTTGAACCATTGTCCGTCCCTGACCTTAAACTTGCGCCCATTTCAGTTGCGCCCCTTCCTAAAATCAAAGTCGTGCCTCTTCCCGAATTCACAGTTGCGCCCTTTCCTGAAGTTGAACCTCTGCCCCTTCCTATACTCAAAGTCGTGCTGCTTTGTGGATTTGAAGAACCTTTGTCGGCCCCTGATCTTAGACATGCGCCCATTTTAGTTGTGCCCCTTCCTAAACTCACAATTGCGTCCTTTCCTGAAGTTGAACATTTGCCCTTTCCTGTACTCAAAGTCGAGCTGCTTCGAGAACTAGATGCTATGCCCCTTCCTGAACTTGAACTTGCGCCCATATTAGTTGTGCCCCTTCTTGAACTAGGACCTCTACCCCTTCCTATACTCAAAATCGTGTATCTTTCTGAGCTCAAAGTTGTGCCCTTTCCTGAAATTAAACCTCTGCCCCTTCCTGAACTCAAAGTAGCGCTGCTTTGTGAAGTTGAAGATATGCTCCTTCCCGAATTTAATGCCTTGCCCTTTCTTAAAGTGGAAGCTGCGTCCCTACCTGATCTCGAACCATTGCTGTTTCTTAAACTTGAAGCTGTACCCCTTCCTCTGCTTCTTTCTGCAGGATCCCTTCTTTGGTTTGAAGCACATCCGATCCCACTTCCTCTGCTTGTTTTTGTAGGTATTTGGTCAGTCTCCACAGTTATATCTCTCTTCACCTGGACCACGTTGAAATTTCACATTAGTTTTGAGGACTGCACAATTAAGATAATGCAAATAGTCAATACTTACAGAAGAAAGGTCCCCTTCATCCTCAACTTCAACTGTAGCTTTGCAGGAGCTCTCATGATGTTCAACTCCATTGCACCTTCGGCAACTTGACCGAACAACATCATTATGGTTGGCAAGTTCCCCACTCTCATCCTTCTCCTTCTTTCTATTTTCCATACTCGTCGTTTTCCCTCCATCGACATTGCCAAAGTGCCCAATTCTTCCGTCCCTCATTTGCCGCCTATTTCCTGTGGCCTCAAAACATTCAGCATTGCCTGGTTCTGACTGGAAATCATCAATGGAGGAGGTGCCATCAGTTTCGCTTTCACCCACAGATGCAGAGTCTGAGTCTGAGTCTGCACTTGAAACATCCCACACATCCTCGTCAGAATACACATCAGTCTTCATTGCCTCCTCCCTTAACATCTCCATCATCTCGTCATCGTATTCTCCCTCCCACTCACTGTCAACCCCTCCCTCGACGTACAGATGAATTGATCTTCTTTTAGATGCTAGTAGCACCATTCCCTTCACTTGCTCATCACTCTTGATCTCTATGAGCAATTCGCAGTATTCACGGAGACTCTCGCACCACATTCTCTTTAAACGAAAGCCGAAACCTTTAACGTCAGCAATCAATCCTTTATATGTCACTGAATCAGGAATGACATTTTCCTTTTCCCTCTTTATTCCACCAACGGACTCCAACCCCCCACTGGGGTTCTTTACTCCAAGGTGGAATATGATTGTGAAGGGACGCTCCATCTGTGATGTAACAAGTTCGATGTGAGAGCCAAAAAACATTTGTATTGGATATCTATTAAAGCTTTCTGCTTATCTACCTAAGATCCAACAGGCACAGACATCATTCATTAGTTAGAGACAGGTCTAGGTTTAAATACTCAGATGTCCAGCGTAAAATCGGTAATACTTATTCGATTTTTCTTTTATTAACTAATTTTGAACTTTTAATAAGTATATGATATAAATTATTGGAATACACTGGAAAAGCTGTGAGGCACTTACAGAAGAAAGGTATTTTCGATCCTCAACTTGATTTGTAGCTGTGCTCGGCTCACTGTCAAACCCTCCCTCGACGTACAAATGAACAAACCCTCTTTTGGATGCTAGTGGCACCATGTCGTCGTTCACTTGCTTATCGCTCTTGATCTCCACGAGCAACACCCGGTCTCCACCAGGAGCCTTGCACCAAATTCTCTCCAAACGAAAACCGAAACCTTTCGCCTGGGCAACCAATCCTTCATACGTGACTGAACCCGGGGTCGCATTTTCGATCTCCCTCTCCGTTCCACCAACAATTTCAGACCCATCACTATTCTTCTCAACTCCGAGGACGAATATGATTGTGAAGGGATGTTCTACCTGTTGATGTAACAAGTCCAACGTGAGAGCAAACAACAAATGTATTGGATATGCATTAAACCTTTTTACGTATTTACCCGAATTCCAATACTGCGTAGACATGATCCATTAGATAGAGACATCTAGGATAAAATACTGAGATGTTTAGTGGAATACTAGTAATACTTATATGATAATGTAAATTTAAACGAAACATCAAATGAGTTAGATGATTATCTACCTAGAAGTACTGTGTCATCACGGATTCCCTTTTTCAAGCTAAAGAAGGAAAAAAAAGTACTTTAACACCTCCGTAAGTAGACATTCCAACAGCAATTTCTTCCACTTTTGATTTGAGGACCGTAACTACTCACTTTCTCATTGACCATCGAATTAAGGATAGATTAAGCGATTGTGGAACCATTTTTTTATACTGCTGTAAGTACTTAAGAATGGAGTCATTAGAATTTTTTTTTTAATGTTAAAAAAAGTTCCTAATTAAAAGAAATTCTTTTTAAATATTATAGTGCTAACATTTAGCTTGACTAATTCCTATCGACAGGTATCACTCCTAAGCATCGTAAGACAGACGAGATCCACTAATAGCGAAAAACTATAGTCAAGGTGGTACCATAAGTAAAATTTCACAAACTGCAATACACATGAGATAGTCTTTTGCAATTGTATAGAAAGTTTTTGTAACCTTATAAATTGTACGTTAATGTCAAAAGATTGTGTTTGGTACATGAATGCTACATTTAGTGAAGTATGTAGTTCTTCTTAGTTTGTCAATGCTAGCTAGAGTTAGCGGGCATTATTTCCTTCTGTTCATAATTTCTACATGTACGTTTGCCTTCTTAATGTACTAATCTACTAGCCACTTACAAAAGCACGACAAAAAGTTACTGTCGATTTGTTTACCATTTTTTTTTTGGTAAGGAAAGAAGACAATTTTCCGTATATGAAATTTGGAATCAATAGCATTGTATTTCTTGAAAATTGACGCTTCTTTCTGAAGTACCTATAGTATAGTTGAGAATCACTATTTATTTGTTTACCATTATAGTCACCAATAACTACAAAGTTACTGCCGATTTGTTTGTACCTTGTTTCTTTTCATTATAACCCACAACTTGAAAGGGTTGCACTGTTTCTTTCTTCTTACATGTTCCTTTTTATCAATTGCTCTTTTCAATTCCAAACCTCTTCTATCCACGTCCTGATGTTTGAACTCTTTTATGAAAAGTTGCAATGTATTGTTGTATAGTTCTGAACAATTATATCAAGCCCATTATATATGCAAGCACCGGCAAAACAGCAAATAAATGTGTTGTATAGTTCTGAACAGTTAGTGCTTAACCTGCAAGTGGATAGATCAGCTCTTAATTAACTTGCAAAAGCATTCTAACATAATTATTAAAGAAAGAGGCAAAACAAACATTCTAATGTTCATAGGAGGTGGATCATCATAATACCAAACATATATATGACGAGTTAGCTGCCCTTGTTCATCATTCATTTTCCCATATGGTGACTCGCGGCAGAATCTATTGAGTTCTTTTTTCTCTTCTGTTGTAGCTATGATCAAACCATGGGACTTTAATTTCTCCACAGCTCATCGATGCAGCAATTGAATCAAATAATCCATAATCACTACAATTATATTTATAATATCAAACGACTTTACTGACAAGATAAAGAACCAAAACGATCCAACACCAAAAAGGCAAGTGGAGACAAGTAACTAAAATAGGGATAAAAACGTGCAACCCAAGTAATTAAAGTACGGCAGAAGCTGGGAACCTCAAGAGAAGGGGTAAAGATTGCTTTAGGAACCGACAATGAAAAACACCAAAAAAGGAAGTAGAGATGAGTGACTAATGCAAGGAAACAAATCAGCCACCCAAGAAATTACGTTGCAACCAAAAAAAATGGCAACTTTAAACGGGCGGATACTGTCTGGCTAAAGAAAGGAGGATATTTGGCAAAAAAAGGAAGTAAACAAAAGTCCCACACATTGATGAAGAAGATGCCGCACCTTGTTTGATGTATTCTGAAGAATCTCGTTTTTGTAATCCTTCAAGGACATTTCAAAATCTTTGATAGAGTCTCCACACCACTTTATTTTGATGAAGCAATTATCTGGTATTTTTGTGCAAAATGCATCAATCAACCTTCTCAATGACGGGCACATCCGGACCTCCAACGATTTCAGAGACTCCAGCTCATCAAGGCCCTCAACATTAGCAAGTACGTTGCAGCCTAGGATTGTCAAAGCCTCCTGCTTCTTCAAGTATGATAACCCGCTAATTCTTGTCAGAGATTCGCACTCATCAACGCGCAAGGATTCCAATGATTTCAAAAGACCCACAACTTGTATCTCAACCAGCTCTGAACATTTTGACACTTCCCCTAGCCGTAGCTCACTTAGTGCCGAAGGAATGGATAATCTTTGAAGCCGTTTACAATCGTCAACAGTTAATTTCTCCAGTCGTGGAAGTCCCTCTAGTGGGATGTCTTCCACTTCACACCGATAGAACTCTAAAGTCAACAAATTTGTCAAGAGAGGTAACTCTGCCCACCTGATGCTAGAGAATTGTAAATCCAATCTCAGCAGAGAGGACGGAAGCTGCCCGAGGGTTTCTAGGTCTAGGCTATGCAAACTAAGATCTTCCACATGTGAAAGATAAGCCAACTCTGGAGGTGCAGGGACATTTAGCAAGTTTAACCTTAACCTTTTCAGACTATTTAACCTCCAAATCCACCTTAAATTGCATCCCGGGAGTAGGTTTGATTTCTCTGTAGCCTTAGAGCCATCACATAGTTGCAGTTCAACCAAATTAGTAAGGTTCGATAGATTTGGGATCGAGAGCAATGACCTAGATTCAACAAGTAGACAGGTCAAACTTTTGGGAAGCTCCGGCAACACTTGAATCGAATGACATTCCCCCAAATTGAGTGTTTCGAGGCGAGAAAGCTTGTTGATTGTCTTGGGAATTCCGCTAATACCGGTAGCAATTAAATTTAGGATTATTAAAGATGACAATTCTCCGATTCCAACAGGAATTTCACCTGTCACATTATGCCATGAGAGATCCAACTCTTCAAGATTTACCAAAGTGCTGATGCCATTAGGTAACTGCCAAGCATGATGCTCGCGATGATCAAATATTGCGAAACGCAAGGTGCGTAATGATTTTAACTTTCCAATGGAGTTGGGAAGTTTCCTTATCCTCGTTTTTGATAAGTCTAACTCTATCAATGAGGTTAAATTCCCAAGTGAGCTTGGAATCACTCTCAACTCAGAACATCCCTTCAATGAGAAGCGTTCAAGCTGCACTAGTGCACCCACTTCTTCAGGCAAATACGTAAGACCTATGCAATCTACAATCTCTAACTTAATCAATGACCGTAGATCTCCAATGAAGCTTTCGAGTCTCTTTACATTGTAGCAACGTGCAAGAGTCAACTTCTCTAAACCCAGGCATTTAGAGAAGTCTGGGATTATTGTTATGCCACGACAGTCCGTAAGAGATAGAACTTTCAAATTATGTGCCCTCTGTAAAAATGGATGTGTCAAGTGTAAGAACCAATGCATAGCAACACTAGGACAATTAGACTAGAATTAAATCATGTAATTTACCTTGATCAAGTCCCATGCTTTTGAATCATCTGTGAAGTGGTTCCCGTCAAGTTTAAAAACAAGAAGATTATCCAAATACATATTGTTCGCCCTAAAATCTTGACAAGGAGAAGACCAAGAAATCCATCTCAACTTTGAATGACACTGTGCAAAGTTCCCAGCAAAAGTTCCATTGCTTAAGTTGAGGAACCTTAGGTTTGGTAATCTTTCAAACTCTTCATTTGCAATCTCTATGGAGCCATCTTGTACATTTATTTCAAGCGCCTGAACCTTCTTCTTCCTCTGCAAGTGAGAATTTGAAATTTTGTGAAGAAGTTTTTCAACTTCCAACCACTATGCTTTACAACTTGAATGTGAAAGAAACAAATGATAAACATCCTAAATTAAATAGAATCCTTTATCTTAAAATATACAGCTTCTATTTGAAAATCGGACGTTTCTTACTTACCCTTTCGGTTCTAATGATTTCGATGGCCTCTTGTGCAATCCACAACCTGCTCCGCTTTCCAAGGTCACTTGGACTTTCTTGACGGACAATTTGCCTTCCCATGTCTTTTAGTTGATCATGGATCGAGAACTTGTTATTGTCCAATATCTTTATCAAGCACCTATTGGTAAGGACCTCAATTCCTCTTTCAGGATAAAACTGACAATCGGCCCACATGTAAATTGCATCCGTCTTCTTCTCATTGAAAAGGAAGCATGCTATATCGAGAAAAATTTGTTGTTGATATTCATCTAGGTCATCATAGCTAATCCTCAACTTCTTTTGAATCTCTTCCTCAGGTACATTCCTTAACCTGACCAATGTCTCTTCCCAAAATGCATTGTCTTTCTGATTAAGTAATGAACCTATCACTTCAATTGCTAAAGGAAGCCCTCCTGTACTTTGGACAATTTCACTGGAAAACCCATGATAATCATCCGAAGGAAAGGGTCTGCCAAAGGCATGCCGACAAAAAAGCTGAAGTGCAAGAGCGTCTTCCATCTTAAGCATCTCATACGGTATAATTGTACCTTTAAAACCCGCAACTTGCATAATAGTTGTGTTTCTTGTTGTAACGATTATCCTAGATCCCGAATATAATGACTTATCTCCTATTAGTTTCTTAATGTGCTCTTTATTATCAACATCATCCAGAACCACAAGGACCTTCTTAGTGCGAAATATTGCTTCAATCCTCCACATTCCTTGCTCACTATCATTGACTCCTTCTGCAGATTTAGAACCAACAATGTTAGACAATAATTTTTTCTGTAACTGGATTATTCCGTCCTTGGTCGACATGCTTTCTCGGACGTCCTCAAGGAAGCTACAACACTTTCCAAAGTGGGAAGCAAGTTTATTAAAGACGACTTTGGCAAGAGTTGTTTTACCAATGCCGCCCATTCCATATATTCCAATGAGCCGCACATCAAGATTGTTGACAGCTAATAACTCTATCAAGTGCTTTACCCGATCATCAAGTCCGACTAAATTTTCGGTCACTGATTTTTGTTTTAGCTCCAGTTTCTCCAAAACCTCTTTAACAACCAAGTTGACAATTTCTGCTTGGCTGCAATGTACAAAATCGTCATTAGTTGACTAGATTAATTTCATACCGACACATCACACGTGGGATTGTCAAAATTTACCTGAATAGATTGAAGTACATCACGAACGAGATCTCAATACATTGACTAATCAGTATAGGCTATTTTGGTATAATTCACTTGATATGTTTTTGATATGTAATTATAGAAATGTCTGAAGACTATAGTATTGGCTTACACAATAGCCAAAGTTACCAAGTGGCTACTAAATCGTGCATAAACAAAATTTCGGCATTTATAGCTAAGACTAGAAAAAATCTTAGCGCTCATAATAGGAGAATCATGAACCAAGATAATGTAGACAAATGTAGCGTTGTACATTGAACACTGCAGTTTTCTCTCGCTTCTATGGAATATTGATATATTGATTTTTCTTCACCGAATCTTAGTTTCCTTGTGTAGTCTTATAAGACAAAGCAGAGGATGGAAAGTTGAATGAGAGCAGCAATTGGAGGTAGTTTTCAATACTTTCCGTTACAAAAAGAAGAAAAGAACTCATTTGACTTGGCAACGTTGTACGTCATATAAAAAAAATAGGTAGGGGTCTTAAAAGAGTATTTACCTTTGGTCCCTTTTCACATTCCATCCCTTGATTTCATCAACCTCTGCAAGAGCCTTTCTCCATGCCTTGACTTCATCAGGAAACTTCTTCTCGTGTTCCCGTAAAGCATTGCTATATTGTGGAGTCTTAAGTTTAACATCTTCGGGTTCTACATCGAGAAAAATGGGAAGGATACTTTTTTTACCGTCTGACTGAGACACATTATCTACTATGTGCGCAAGCTCACGGAGGCACCATTTGCTAGAAGCATAAGTACGAGAGAAGATGGGTATATAGATCATGGAGTTGTTGATAGCACGTGAAAGGTTCCCACCAATCACTTCGCCGACGCGAAGTTCATCATCATCCTTGAATACGCGGACTCCCGCATCTACCAAGCCGTGGTAGAGGAAGTCTGTGAATCCATGACGAGTGTCGGGTCCTCTGAAACTCAGGAACACTTGATACTCACCTCCTAATGCTCGTGCAGCGTTGCTACTCGTTTCTATCTCAGAGTTTGCCATAGCGAGGAAGCTTAGCACTTCCAGATCTCTCTCTCCTCGCTAAAGTCGAATTTAGTTGTCTATTTCGCACTTAAGGTTTTGTCACACCTCGAAACCTATTAGAATGGAAAATGCTACATGAACTATGAATCGGCTAAATGACACTTAAAACGCTAACAAAACAATTCATACGCACTAACAAATCGCACACCCCAAGCGATTATTTAAACTTAAACGGAATATGAAACTCGCATGCGAAACCCTAAAATTTCATTCCGATCATACCGTTGGTCCAAATCGACTCCCGTTAAAACCCACAGCTTTACGATGTCATAATCCACAATTTTCATGAAATTTCATAACTCAACATCTCAGAAATCGAACTACACGGCTCAAATTTCACAAAACTACGAAATTGTGTCATAATTTCGAAAAATACTTCGATTGAACGAACGAAGAGTGTGAATACTTACTAAACGTTACAATACGTAATCAATCCAGTTCGGCGAGATGTCCGTGGCGGCGAGTATGCACAGAAACCCCTTCTCCCTGTTTTCCCTTTCTTTCTTCGCTTCTTTTCTTTCTTTCCCGGGCACCCTCTCGATCTTCTCTCTCGCTGCTTTTTCTTATAAATAAGCTGAAGGCCCACTTTTTCTTTCTTTCACTTTTCAACTCTCTGTTTTATTTTGCTTGATAGAAGTCCAATTATTGCAGGTTTCTCATTGGCAACCATTCACCCGTCATGCGTCCAATTCTTCTTCACATGTTTCGGAATATCCAATGATTGGCTGGGAGACCCTGCTGACCATAAAGGCCAATCAGTGTTTCTTCTTTTTCCTTTTCCTTTGGGGCGAAAGCATCGCATCCCTAAATCATTGCACAATTGTAATCGGGTCTCTCAACTTTTCCGCGAAACAAGGTTCTTAAATTGTGTACATCATACAACCAAAAAAAAAAAAGTTGTAGGTAGGGCTCTTAAAAAAGTATTACCTTTCGTCCTTTTTTACGTTCCATCCCATGATTTCGTCAACCTCCGCAAGAGCCTTCCTCCACGCCTTGACTTCGTTAGGGAACTTTGTGCGCGTGCTCCAGTAAAGTATCGCTATATCGAGGAATTTTAAATTTAACATCTTCATGTTCTACATCGAAAAAAATAAAAAGGAGACTTTTTTTCCTGTTTGACTAAGATGATTTGTCTATTATGTGCGCAAGCTCACGAAGACACCATTTACTGAAAGTATAAGTCCGAGAGAAGATGAGTATGTAGATCATAGAGTTGTTGATATCACATAAAAGGTTCCCACCAATCACTTCGCCGACGCGAAGTTCATCTTCATCCTTGAATATGTGGACTCCCACATTTACTAAGCCGTGGTAGAGGAAGTCTGTGAATCCATAACAAGTATCGAGTCCTCTGAAACTCAAGAACACTTGATACTCACCTTCTAATGATCGTGCATCGTCACTACTCATTTCTACCTTTGAGTTTGCCATAGATAGGAAGCTTAGCACTTTGAGATCTCTCTCTCCCACAAAGAGAAAAAAGGTTAGGGTTGCGTGGCCAAGCTAAAGTTGAATTTAATTGTCTATTTCGCACCTAAGATTCTATCATACCCTGAAACCTATCAAAATGGAGGAGTGACATGGTTATCCTCCCATCTGAAGGACGGAGCCTCTAACAAAAAAACCTGAAAAAAATTGGGAAGAAGAGGAGTGAGCAACCACAGCTCAGTTAATAGTGCGTATTTCTTTCAAGCAAATCGAGCAATCACTATGCACATCTACAAAACCAAATCAAAACTCATTTAACACAAATCCATAATATAACAAACTTATAAGAAGAAAAAGAATTATATTGCTTTAACATAACCATATACATATAGAAAACATTCGTTAAATCAATAATATTATAACAAACATCAATAATCTAGCCCATTGATCAATCTCGTCAAAATCATACAGTAATAATCCATTCCATTGGTCAATCTCAAATCATATGTCATTAGTCCATCCATTGATCAAACTTGTGCTCAAATATCTAACAATGATCACGCATAATACTCGTGATAAGGCAATCAAGCTCCCTCCTTGGCAAGGTCTTCACCTATATTGCTAGTGGCTGACGTACAAGGATATCATAAACTAGTATGCATATCCACAAGCCCCTAATTGGGCTCACAGTGATATTGAGCACCAATACAAACTCACAACAACATCCTCCCAATTCTCAAACCAATTCGGGGTCAATATCACCCAAATGGTTTCACAAAGGAAAAACAAATCACATTTCACAACTTATTTTATGAATAAAATGCATTTTATAAAGCATTTCACAAATACATACATATAACCTTTCACAACACATCTCCTAAAACATTTCACAAACTATTCACAAATACCAAAACACAGTAAATGGCCAATCAAGACTTTTACGCAATAAAAATGCAACATATCGAATCCCTATCGCTTTCAAGATATGAGTTTACAAATTCATATAAGATATAGCACCATTCACTTGAGAATGTTCACAACGTAACTATACGCACCGACGATCTAGTAATCCTAATAATTAAATGAGAATCGGCGTTAAAACCAAGGAAAATGCTACATGAACTACGAATCGGCTAAATGACACTTAAACGCTAACAAAACAATTCATACGCACTAACAAATCACACATCCCAAGCGATTATTCAAACTTAAACGGACTACACTTGGGTGTGCGATTTATTAAAATTTCATGAAAATTGTGGATTATGGCATCATACCGTTGGTCCAAATCGACTCCCGGTAAAATCCACAGCTTTATGATGTCATAATCCATAATTTTCATGAAATTTCATAATTCAACATCTCAGAAATTGGATCACGCAGCTCAAATTTCACAAAATTTCGAAATTATGCTCTAATTTCAAAAAATATTTTAATGAACTAGGGGTGCGAGTAGTTACTGAACAGCACGAGACGTAATAAATCCAGTTCGGCGAGATGTCCGTGGCGGCGAGTATGCACAAAAACCCCATCTCTCTCTTTTCCCTTTCTTTATTCTTTCTTCCCTTCTTTTCTTTCTTTCCCGGGCACTCTCTCGATCTTCTCTCTCGCTGCTTTTCCTTATAAATAAGCTGAAGGCCCGCTTTTTCTTTCTTTGACTTTTCAACTCTCTTTTTTCTTTTGCTTGATAAAAGTCCAATCATTGCAGGTTTTTCATTGGCAACTATTCACCCGTCGATGTGTCCAATTCTTCTTCACGTGTTTCGAAATATCCAATGATTCCCTGGGAGACCCTGGCGACCATAAAGGCCAATCAGTGTTTCTTCTTTTTCCCTTTCCTTTGGGGCGAAGGCATCGCATCCCTAAGTCATTGCAAAATTGTAATCGGGTTTCTCAACTTTTCCGTGAAACAAGGTTCTTAAATTGTGTAATTTTTTTTTTTGAATTGTTCCTTTCATAAAATTATTCACATCAAATGCTGACGTTGCCCCTTATGGGTGGGTCAATTATAATATAACGAATTATTTTCAAAATTTACAAAATGTAAAAATCTGAAAAAGGAAAATCTAAAGGAGATAGGGAAAGGGTAGTGCACTGGCAGCAAGGTCGCGGCCCTCATTCTGATCTTCAGCGAGGGGCTAGCCCTCGCCTAAATCTGAGGAGAGGGTTAGTGGCCCTCGTTGCTTCCACAGAAATATCTCAAATGTCGGAGAAATAATTCATCTATCAAACACGTGATACGTTGCTGTGAAGACAACGCAATAAATTAAGACTCGGCTTGATTGTGCTTAAAGTTACTAAACCCCGCGTGATTCGCTTTCCGACCTTTGAATGAGTCACTTGGAAAACAATGACGAATGAAAGGGACCGGAATAGTTATAATAAAAGGGAAGAACACATTTTCAATCAATATTCGTCCCTCATCTTAACTACAGCCAGAGCTAACCTAGGAGCTTCTAGATAATGGATCAATTATTTAACGCTAACAAATGCCATTAACTTTCTTTTTTTGGCCTTTTGCTTTGATGGGGTTTTTGAGGGTGATTGATTGATGAAACTATCACAAAGCACATCATCAGCCATAAAAGATAAAAGGCATAAAGTGAAGTGGTTCTTGAGGGTGGTCGTTTCAGCCTCCTTTCCCTTCAGGCTCACTTTTATACACGATGCTTCTCCGAAAAGAGAGCGTCGAAACACGCGAAAAGAGATTTTGGTGGGAACTGCTTTAGCGACGCCCGTCCGAAATATCGCCAATGTTGCTGAATATCCATGTGGAACAAGATCGAAGAGGGCGGCTGGGACGGACCGTGAGGTGGCGGATGTCGCAAAGCTTGGGGACTCAGAGAGGCGTGTATTCGTGGACAGCCTGTTAAAGAAGATCGAAGAGGACAATCTCCCGCTTCCCCGGAAGCTTCGTGAGCGAGTATTGAGGACCGAGGTTAATGCATTTCTCATGGATTTCGTGTATAATTTGGCTTATTGGAGAATAGATCTGTCAAATTTGTGGGTCGGGTTGAGTTTGGATCATGTCATAAATGATCCGACCCGAACTGACCCATTAACCCATTTATGTGCAATACAATTTTCTTTACTTATACCCGACCCGATCCATACCCGACCCATATTGCTAAAACACTTCCATATTTAACCAAATTTAGGAAAACTCATACCCAAACTGAGATGAGAGTGTGGAGTCAATGAACGCGAAATTGAGTGAGGGCGATAGAGATGAGTTGAGTTAAAATAAGTTGTAAACCCATTTATAACTCATTGACGACTCATTTAACACCTATATTATACTTATACCCATTTATGATCTATTTGTTAAAGATAATTAACTAATTTTATGATCTATTTACTAATATATAGGTTAAGAAATGAGTTTATGACCCATTTTGACAAATCTATTGAAGAATGAATTCGTCTACAGGCAAAACGAATGCAATCTAGAATGCAGTACAAAACTACCTTCAGATGGAGACGCATGCATTTCTCTGAAACGAACTGCTGTTTGATTTTTCTTTTTGTTTTTCAAATTTCGTTCTTTCCCAGATTTTTTTTCAATACTTTGACAACAACTGGGCGTGACTCTTCGGCTTACCATTTGTGTGGAATGGTCCTCGGAGGATGCAATTTTCTCGGGGGAAAATTACCAAAAAAGTCCTAAACCTTTTGCAATTGTGCCAATTCAGTCCTAAACCTTTTTTTTTTGCCAATTCAGTCCTAAACCTTTTGCAATTGTACCAATTCAGTCCATCTGGCCACTTTTGGCCGGCCGGCGTTGACGTGGACGCCGGCCGGCTGACGTGGCAATTTTTAATAAATTTTTTTTTTATTTTTCGATTTTTTATTTTTTATTTTTTTCTCTTTCTTTTTTTTTCGCCTATCTTCTTCCCCGGTCGCCGGTCCGCCGACCGGCGAGAGGTTGAGGCCGGCGAGGTCCACCTCACCGGCCATGGGCGAGACTGGCCCTCACCGGCACTGGCAAGGTCGACCTCGCCGTCGCTGGGCGAGGTTGACCTCGCCATGGCCAAGGCGAGGTCGAGCTCGCTAGGCGACGGCGAGGCCTCGCCAGATCTGGGCGAGGCCTCGCCATCGTTGGGTGAGCTCGACCTTGCCCGGCCATGGCGAGATTGACCTCGCCCGGCGACGGCAAGGTCGACCTTGCCAGATCTGGGCAAGGCCTCGCCCGGCGACGGCGAGGCCGCCCAGATCTGGCTTACCTCACCGTCGCTTGGCGAGCTTGACCTCGCCTAGCCATGGCGAGGCTCGACCTCGCCCGGCGACGGCGAAGTCGACCTCGCCAGATCGGGGCGAGGCCGACCTCGCCATG